GAGAGAGAGAGAGGAGAGGAAATTGTTGGAAGATGCTTGGAAGCCACGCGCTTCCAGCCCTTCCTGGCGTGGAGGTCCAATTGGGAAATGGAATACGCGTCGTTTCGAGGAAAGAGAATCGAAGGTACGAATGATGTGTGTTTTTTATTTTTGCGTTTAGAGACGACTTGGTGTGGCTTCTTTTTCTCGAAGAAGGGAATGCGGAATCGTAATGTCGTTGAGTTGAGTTCCCTCTTGTTTGAAATATATATAAATTGCAAGAGTGATGGACGTATGCAAGATAGAATTAAGTTGTAACTAAATGACATTCTTCGTGACGAGTGTGTGTATTCGTGTATATACTTCTTCGTGTATATACTTAGGTAACAGGTTTTTATTAAAACGGGTAAAATATATACACGATGTATGTGTGTGTATATGCGGTAGGAAGTTGTTTCAAACTGTTGCATTTATTTTTGAACACGTGAACTGGTATCTCTCATTCACGGGATCGATTATCTCGTATAAATGAATATTCGTTTGATTCGAATATTCGTAGCTGATATTCGAAGCTGAAACGATGGATCTTGTGATCGTTGGATTAATAAGTAATAATTAGTTTGGCACATTAGTCTGGACGAATGTTCGAAGGAGTCGATACTATTGCGAGGTGATAATATTTTTTGTAAAGTTGTAGAAGGAAAGTTCGTAGAATTTGGTTACTTTCTCGTTCTGCCGTACCTTGTTTCCGAAGAGAGGCCAGAAAGGTGTATTTAGAAATCGAATATTCAGGGTCAATGATATTCACAGGGAATCGTTTCGGTTTGTAATAAGTCTTCTCACGGCGTGCTCTTCAAAATTGTTCTGTAAATACACCATAAAATCGAGTTTTTCCTTTGTTTGCACGCATCTCTGGGAGAACAAGTATCCAAATTTAATTACCGGTTCCGCGGTAATCCATAAAATTACTTTCTATATTCTCCAAGAATTTATTCTTGAAAATAGTTAAGTTCCAAATTCATTAAAAGTAACTGTAAGAAAACATCATAAAATAATAAATAGGAAACGCTTTGAGAAAGGAAAAAAAAAAAAAAAAAAAAAAAAAAAAAAAAAAAAAAAATAATTTTTCTTCCTTCCAACTGTTTTCTATCTATTCCTCTCCGAATATATATATATATATATATAAATTTTTTTTTCAATCGAATTCGCGTTGCTTTTTGTGCTCGGCCTGGAAAAATTTTTCCAAACGGAGGGGAGAGGGGTAACATCCATTATCCTCTCGAGGACTCGAAGAAGGAGGAGGAGGATCGAGCGATAACCGGCGCAATTCCCTTTCAACAAGCCGTGTATAATACCTCTCGCATTATGTACAAGATACTTGAAATCTCACGCCTCCGCAACTTTCCTCGTCCGCAACGACCTCCTATCGAGCGGAACGTGCGTTCTCCATTCGCCAATCCTTCCTCTCCCCTTCCTTTCCTTCTTCCTCTGCTCACCCAACTCGAAATTTCATCATCCATCCGTAATTCTCATTCTCGTAAATTCGTTTCCACGATTCCTCGTAACACGAATTCGACGTCGATCGACACAACGATATATAACAACAAAATTTCTCAAAATTCCTCGCGCCTATACGTCTCGCGCCATTTCCCTGTCAACCGTTGATGCGATTCGGATGGAATAAATATGCTGCCACGCGGATAACGATATCACCGTTGTGAAAAATATTCGATACGAGCGGGACGGATAGGTTTTAAAATGTTGTTGGAAATTAATGTATTCGTGCGAGCGGGGCCGGTATAACGCGTATAACGCGTTTAACGGTTTTTCCGTGGAATGTCCGTGGACGAGTTGGGTCCGCGCCAGACCTCCTCAAGGAGAACAGCCGGCCGGCCGCGCCTCGCCGTGACCCCGAAGACGTCTCGCCTAGAAAAGTGCGCGCGGACAAGGAAGGAAAAAGATGAGAGGACGCGAGGCAGGCGCGAGCCTCGTTTCCGATCCCCGCGACTTTCTCCGCCTGCTGCCTGCGAATTCGACGTTTTTCTTTTCTTTTCTTTTCTTTCTTTCTTTCTTTCTTTCTTTCATAACTTAATTCCGAGTGGACGGAACTTTGTTATCGCGTTCCCTTCTCGATTGGGGATAAATTCTTTTTTTTTTTTTATCTTATTTTTAGAATTTAGAAGGTGGAATGTTGGTGGATGAAAGTAATTACAGTTACAGGAGGTCTTTTTTAACTTTTTTATTTTCCTGAAGAGAAGGTTAGATAGTTTTTTTTTTTTTTTTTTTTAGAATTAGTGGAATGTGAACAATTTTTTCGTCGAGAAACGAACGTTTAAACTGTTCTGCCGGAAAGAAGAGAATCTTTGTATTCTCACGTTTCGCGGTAAATAAGTAATACTTAATTAGAAGAGGAAGAAAAGAAAATTTCTTTAACGCGTATAAAATTACGAGCAAACGAGTATCTTCTACGCGAAGAAAGAGGCGAAAAGACGAGGAGGAAAGTCGATAGGAGAAAGAAATAAAAGAAGAAATGCGTTGCCGATCGCCATCGCATCTCGTTAAGAAGAACTTTCACTTCATCGATCAATATCGATGATTCTCTTTTTTTTTTCTTTTTCTTTTTTCTTTTCTTTTTCTTTAGCAAAGTGGAAGACGAGCCTCTTCTTCCTCGAGCTCGACGTGATGAACGATCGTGCACGTAACAACTCGATAAAGTCGTTCAGAGAAGACGAGAGTCGCTCGGAGAGTCGCCAAATTGTCGAGCGCCAAAACGCGCTAATCCTGATGGCAGAACGAGGCGGCTGCGAGTTGAGCGTGATAATGGAACACTTTCCTCTCGACGACGCCGGCGAGAGTGAACTCGGCCGAGGATCGAGGTCAGGTCAAGGCCCCCACGAAGCAAAGCCCCTCCTCTCCTCCTCCTCTTTTTCTTCTTCCTCTTCTTCTTCTTCTTATTCTCTTTCGCCGACTCTTCTGCGAATCGGGAAAAGAAAATTCTCCTCTCGACAGAGACTCGACTCGTCGTGATTCAAATTTTATAAATTTGAATAAACTCGCTTGTTGAAGAAACTTTTAATAACGGTTTTTAATATTGTAATCGGTGGTAATTGATGAAATTGTCGATCAAACCTATTAGATTTCACGAAATTGAATTTTAATATTCGGCGAGGAAATTTTATAAACTCGCCTTTTTATAAAAATTTCAAGGAACGGTGAGAAAGTTTTTCTTGAGTTTGATTTTAAATATCTTTGCATATAATTATTCCCGAATTATGGGTATCTCGTGGGAATTAGCTTGATTTCGATCTATGAATGAACTATTCCAGGGAAGAAAAAGTAGCACGCAAAAGGAGAGTCGTCGGGCGCACGGATGAATGAACGCGATTCACGCGTATTCGATTCTCTCTCGCCTTCTCGATTCCTTTTTTTTCTTTTTTATCGGTTCCCCAAAAAACTCGCCACCAGCGAAAAAAAAAAAAAGAAGCAAGAGACGA